TAGGCCAATATACTTAATGGTAAAATTACTTTAATGGTCTGTGTGTGATATTATTGTGGACAAATAATTATCCTTTTAAAAAATCTCTGTGAATGTTTTGCACAGGTACTTGTGAACACGGAGGGCTGGTTAATATCAGCATGCCATTTACGGTGCAACTAAACTGGTTGGGATTTACTTACAAACCTGGAGGATGGGGCAAGGACTCTGCAATGGGTGCAGATCAGCAATTTTACTTTGTGGCCCCTCTATATACAGATGGACGGCAGATGAGAACATTTCGCACATATTCTTCTTATGATAACCTTCTACTGTACAGAACACATGCAGAGAAGACTATTACTACTGCTGACTTGGGACAAGGTGGTGGTGTGATAATGTACAACAATTTTCTATACTACAACTGCTATAACACTGGAAACCTCTGTAAACTAGATCTTAAGACTTATACAATAACACGCCTCGCACTGACAGGTTCCACATATAACAATCGGTTCTCCTACTTTGCCTCAGCTTGGCAAGACATTGACCTGGCCGGTGATGAAGATGGTCTTTGGGCCATTTATTCCACAGAGCAGAATAATGGAAACTTTGTCATCAGTAAACTTAATGAAACCTCTCTTGCAATACTAAAAACGTGGTCCACCTCACAGTACAAACCTGCAGCCACCAACGCGTTCATAGTTTGTGGTGTTCTGTATGCAACAAGAACCCTCGATACACGAACAGAGGAGATCTTCTACATGTACGACACAAAGACGGGCAAGGAAGGACACCTTAGTATTCATTTCAACAAGATGATGGAAAATATACAAAGTTTATCCTACAACCCCAACGACCACAAGCTCTACATGTATAACGATGGCTACCTGGTCACTTATGACCTTTTATTCCAACCTGTTGTAGGTGAGAAACCCAAAATTTAACACAATATCTATAGAGAACCATGTACTATGAGTGGTAGTCCTATACGTTCTGGTTCTCTGCATTATGTGAGTTCACGAATCTCGTTTGACTCCAAAAATCTAACTTTCTAACCTTTTAATCCTAATTTAAAAACCCAAGAAATATACTGAAAATCAAAGTAATCCCTAATGATGATTCGGGTTGGGAATCCAGCTAGCTGTGTGCCTGCTCTACCATGAAACAATATCATGGACGGATTGTCAGAGGAAACTCCAGATCATAATATAAATAACATATACAGCGACCACATCTTCTGAGATTAGAAACTTCAGCTCACATTATCATGATTTATGTGTTTGGAATCGAATTAATAAAATATAGATGCAGCAATCTGTCTGTTGTATTTTGTTTCTGGTCACTAATAATCTGCCGCAGTTTGTTTTAGTAACATTTATAGTAGGAGAGAATGGATATTCCACAGAGATATAATAAATACAGTATATATTAAAGGTATACACTCAGACACATTACCGGGAGTATTATTGCTGGGGAGCTCTGTTATACACTCAGACACATTACCGCGAGTATTATTGCTGGGGAGCTCTGTTATACACTCAGACACATTACTGGGAGTATTATTGCTGTGGAGCTCTGTTATATACTCAGACACATTACCAGGAGCATTATTGCTGTGGAGCTCTGTTATACACTCAGACACATTACCGGGAGTATTATTGCTGTGGAGCTCTGTTATACACTCAGACACATTACCGGGAGTATTATTGTAAAAAATGATGGAAACCCGCTTAATCCTGAACCCCAACTTACCTCACCTTACAATGCAAATGCTGGGGAACGAGAGGACACCTCACACACCCAGAAAGCCCGCTGGGTTACCGGTTCAGAGACTCGGTGGGCCTACACCACGCAGAGCAAGGGAGAGGTGGCCACTCTGCCAGCTCACCAAAGCACGCAGCACCCGAAGTATTGGGCTTCTCTCCCCCCCCTTAGGACCGGTGGGACTGTCACCCGTGAGCCTACACGGACAGCAACCGATGGCAATAGGCTAAACTATGCACTAAACCAGCAGGCCGCTGGCTGTTCTAAAATGCCGGACGCGCAGCTTGACAAGAGCCATGCGGCACCAGAGACCCAACACTCCACCTGCGAACCCCTAGACACTTGCCTGAACAAGCTGTTCGCAAACTTCTGGGCAAAGGTGGAAGCTCGACACGTTGCTGCACGGACACAAATGCAGGTGAGCTGGAGTGCACAGAGGGACCAAGGGAGCAACAGCCGGAGAGGGTCCGGGAAGCCCTCGGGCAAAAACCCGGCGAAGCAGATCACTACTCCTCTCACGAGCCCATCCGGGCTGAGGGACCCTAAGGGTAATACCCCAACCCATCTCCCACATAGGCGGAGGCCTGCGCGCCGCAGGCGGTGAAACACCACCGCAGCCTTCAGACCTACCCCAACAGGGAGGGACCCGGCCTTTATAAGTCCCTGAGTCCATGGTAAAATGATGCTGGTCGCACAACAAGCCCGGAGTGAGAGGGTTACACCGGCATTCCCCTGGCTGTCCACCGACACCCGGAACTACCCGACGCCACCGATACAGTTTCCCCTCAGAGGAACAGGATGACCTGTAGGCATGCAGACGGCTGGCCTCCCCACGAACACCAAAGGATGCCGTGCAGCCAAGTAAGTACACTGGACATGTACTCACGACCACGGAACGCTTTTCATTTTTTCTTTACAATGTGCACGCTTATGTCCAACCATGAAGCGTTTGACCTGCGACTGCGACCGAAAAGGTGCACGACCAGTTCATCTCTCCGTGCTCACCACTTTTTATTTTCTAATCTCAGCCTCCCTAGACACCCACAACATGTCCCGCAAGTGGGGTGGGTTGAGTGACACCAGATGCAACCGCATGCCACGAAGGTAAAGCACAGAGACAATCCATGCATTCACATGCCCAGAAGCCTGAAAACCTCCTGGCAAGATATGTGCAAATACTTAAATTATGCCTCTAGCTATTATGTGCCTCTTATTGATGTTTATATTTACTGCGTGCCTATTATTGATATGTCCCTAACCTTGCCATGGACCTACAACCGTACTAGCATTAATCATTGCCTGGGTAAAGATAAGCGTGTCTATTATAACATGCTCTGTCTCTCATGTGAAACACACACGCACTGTTGATCTCTACAATCTAACGTTTAATTCATTTACTGTTTATATCCTTTCTGGAAGAGCTTTGTTTTGATGCCCTTCTTTTTTAACCTGTTTGCTTTTGATGTTAACCAGGGACAGCTGAACATGTTCATGTATAGGAGTTTAATGTTGAATCTATCTAAGATGTGCTTCAAACTTCTGACCTTAACACCCCTATACATACATAGCACAACGTACGGTGACAACACGTCAGACTAAACTGCTAAGTATTAATCATACCTTAATGACAATGACGGCACATACAATAGGAACATTAGACCGTGCAGTACTCATGACAAGCTTAACGTGACAAAGCACGACAGCGAGGCGCTAGTCCCACTGAGTGTACCACACTCGACCCCCTGTAACTCACTCCAGCCTGGAAGTCATATGCTACCGTTAATGGACATACAACAACTTAACAACATGAGGCACTAGATTGGGGTACGCAAAACGCACTGACCTACCTATTATTTGTTAAGCATTATTAAATTGTATAGTTTGTTATGTCCAGTTGGACCAACAAAATGACTTACTTCGCATGCCCGCCAACCATTACTAGCACTATGCTTAATACTGATGGGCTTGTTTAAATCGATTTTATGGACGTTTTTACAGTTTTTACTCGTATTGCACTCGCCATATTACATCTTAATTCAGCCTGTTTAAAATATGTTTCCGTTAAGCGATTTACAAAAATATAAAAATGAGGCATTACTAATCTGGAAATGTACTTAACAATGTTTTCGCTGTATTAACCCTATTCTGTGGATTACCCATGTATTTCCCTTTCTCTGTTCTGTACCCTTCATATGTGCCTTAACCCCTTAAGGACCAAACTTCCTTAAGGGGTTAATAAAGATTTACAAAAAACAAAACAAAAACCCTAATGGTTTCACCACAAGGCTTTATGAAAGTCTTAATAAAAGTTATTAGTGCACATACATAGTTCTAGTAAAAAATCCCTCCTCCACACCACATGTTTGTATTATTATATTTTTTTTTTCACATTTTAAAAACAAGTAAAACAAGAATTAATTGTAGAAATATATAAACATCAAATCTCAATATGGTATAAATGTTCTCTCATCACATTTCTGGATTCTGGATTTTTTAAAGCTGGAATTTAAAATAAATTAAATAGGTGAATTAAAGTCAGACAAGAATGAGTTAAGATAGAAATATAAGCATCGGGACAAAGGGAAATAAGGGATAACCCTATATAATTACTTAGAAAACAGAGAGAATAGTCCCCTGAGAGGGGATATGATAACATTATACAAATATATTCAGGGCCAGTACAAACCATTATCTGGAAATCTATTCACAAACCGGACTTTACATAGGACGCAAGGTCATGCGTTTAGACTGGAAGAAAGGAGATTTCGTCTAAGGCAAAGAAAATGATTTTTTACTGTAAGAACAATAGGGATATGGAATTATCTGCCTGGAGAGGTGGTTTTGTCAGAGTCCATACAGATGTTTAAAAAGCAATTGGATAAATATTTGCAAAAACATAACATACAGGGATATAATTTCTAATTAGTGGGGTAATAGCTGCTTGATCCAAGGAGACATCTGACTGCTATTTTGGGGTCAAAAAGGAATTGTTTCCTAGTTTGTTGCAAAATTGGAAGCGCTTCAGACTGGGTTTTTTGCCTTCTCTTGGATCAACAGCAAAAACAAATGTGAGGAAGGCTGAACTTGATGGAGGCAAGTCTCTTTTCAGCTATGTAACTATGTAACTGTATAACTACTATATTGTAAGTGAAACAAATTGGGAGGGGAAGGCTTTATATGTATCCAGAACAATAGAACAATTCCAAACTGATATTATGGACTATTTCCTTTTAATTTAATTTCTTTCTAATGAACATTGTTGGAGACTAAGTGGATCTTTAAAAAAAATTTTTTTTTATAATTTTGCATGGTTGACTGGAAAGGCCCCAGGTATTTTATATTGCTGTTTCTCAGTGTCAGAGGTTGAGCAGCAAAAGACCTTCTTGCGTTTCTCGTTGCCAGAGATCGATCAGATTTTTGTAAATAAATTAATATCTTGTGTATTTCAGAGATTTCTCTCTCATGGCTGTCCTGCTATCAGCTTTAAATTTGCAGACTTGCTATAAGATCTCTATAAGCATGAGCAGGGCTGTCATTGGATTTAAATATCTTCGGGACTCTCTCTATAAAACTAACTTTATTCTCCTATTGTAATCATAGGAATGGAAAAAATTCTGCGAAATATTTCTCCATATTTGAGTGAGTTATGTTCGATCCTTCGTTCTCGTGTTAAGAGTTTCTCTTGCTCTAGGTTCTACTGGAACACTGAGTTTTCTAACTTATCTTTCAGAGAATTTATTTTATTTGTCATTTTCTTCCATTCTTCTTTGAAACCATCTGTAATGTTGTGGATTTCATCTTTCATTTTTTTCGCAGTCATTTGTCAAAGCACACACTTAGATGATCTCTGTCAATGTTCTGTGCTTCTTTTAAAGATATCCAACAAAAAAATAAAGTGTGCTGTGCCTTTAAAATCGTGCCAACTGAATCACTGAAAGCCAGCATCTAGGACACACCTGCCTCTATTGTACCCAGCAAAGCAACATCTAAGCATGGGTGTAGGAACCGGGGGGATGGGAGGGACTCATCCCCCCCAGCAAATCATGCAGGGGGGACAGGTTATAGAGAAATCCCCCCAGCCCCGCCTGCTGCGGGGCCCCTCGGGCTGCATGCGGCTCCATCAGGGAACCACACGCACTGCAGACTGGGAAGGGGAGCACCTCCCCCTCCGCGCAGAAGC